TATATATATATATATATATATATATATATATATATGTGTGTGTGTGTGTGTGTGTAATGTATTATAATTGAAATGTGACTGTACATTACAAAATACAGTCCATTAGAACACAGACAAGACACTTTGTAAAGACCAGTTTTATATTTTTTATAGTATTGATCATAGAGTAACATGTGTGCATGTGCACCACATGATTGCAACTTATGTAATGTTAATTAGGCACAGTTGAAAGGTCAATAAAATAAATATATATATAGATGTATACTGTTATACATTTGTGGTTTTGTGTTATAATTTGTAGTCATTCTAGAACAAAAAAAGCTTAGTATATATTTATTTCCTAATTTTGTACGGTGGTTACAGGGTCAGTCAGCTCAACCAAACCCATACAGAGACACAACAGTAAAAATACAGATAAAATATAGATTTTTCTAACAGAAAAACGTTTGTTAATTATCTAGAGGTTATAAAGATTTCACATGTGAAATCTGACAATTTTCTGATGCATAAAAGTATTTTTAATCTTCAAAATCAAAATTACTTTGCATTGGATGGTCAACATTTGAAAAGAAAAAAATGCACAAGCAAATCATTACATATAAAATATTAAAATGTAATAAAAGATCTTATATTTTGTCTACTAAAGCCTTGTAATGTTTACTGATAATCTGCAAAATTTCATGAAGATCCTCCTACTGTATTAAAAGTTATAGTATGAAAACTACAGTAAGCACAAAATGGTTATGAGGTCGGTCCCTGGGGCCAGCCTGGAGTGAGAGTTAACTGAACATAACAGTAGTAATAATTGTTGTTTAGCATCCTATTACTAATTTTGTGTTGAACTAGTACTACACTAGTAATTACGTGCTGACCTAGTATTACAGTAGAACTCATGTGTTGAACTAGTACTACACTAGTAATCATGTGTTGACCTAGTATTACAGTAGAACTCCTGTGTTGAACTAGTACTATACTAGTAATCACATGTTGACCTAGTATTACAGTAGTACTCCTGTGTTGAACTAGTACTATACTAGTAATCATGTGTTGACCTAGTATCACAGTAAAACTCCTGTGTTGAACTAGAACTATACTAGTAATCACGTGTTGACCTAGTATTACAGTAGAACTCTTGTGTTGAACTAGTACTATACTAGTAATTATGTGTTGACCTAGCATCATACAACTAATCCTGAGCTGACCTAGCATAATTATGGTAGTCCTGTATTCATCTAGTATTATACTAGTAATTCTTGTTGATCTATGAATCACATTGGAAATCCTTGCTGATCGATTACACAAACCCTGATGAAAATTGTCAGCGAGGGACAAGAACTGGTTGTCACAAACATAATACACAAAACATTATGTCATATTAAAACTACATCATAATTGGGCATCATAGCAATAATCCCTGGCGATCTATAATATGTAATAAACAGCCCAAGATTGCTTCACCTATAGTAAGTTTCTAACTTACCTTTGGTGCACCTATAGCTTCAGCATGTTTAGCTTGTAAGAATTCTAATGATTCCAAAAGGTCTTTTTGTAAAAGCAAAATTCCAGCATAACAAATGTCCTCCTCTTCTTCTGTATTGAGTGAGAAATCTTTTCTGCAGTAAAGAAAGTGGTTTGAACTAAACATGTCTTTTATTTCACATATCTACTGATTAAAATATAAGTAGATTTGAAGAATACATTAAGTATATTAATACCTCAAAATCTTTTTTTTTTTTTTTCATATTTCATACCTTAACAATGTAGAAGATTGCTACACAAACACACATTTATACACAAACTACAATTAGAACCTCAAATGTAAACAAACAATAAATCTTACTTTAAAATATATAAGAAACTATTTCCTCAAAACTAACACCTTAGTAATTCTATTAATAATTCTTTAGAATTTAACTTTTTAAATAATTATTGTATGAATATGCAAACCTTACTTTTAAATTCGTTTTTAATAACTAAATTTGTTTGTTATTAATCTACATTTCAAAAGTTTTAATCATATTTCATCTCTACAATTATATGTTTCATGATGTCATAGTGTGAAAATGCTTAAATTAGGAAAGTAAGTAAAAAAAAAATCATAAAATGTGGTAAAAATGTAAAGTAACAATTAACTTTAAACATTATAAACAGTAAACAGAGACCAACGTTTATTTTCTGTAAATCAAAACCAACAACACCTTTTATTCTTTCTATAACTTATGAGAGCAGCATGATTATGATGACAAAAAATGATGTATTGAATCATCAGTTTTGAGTTCTACCAGATTATAACATATAGCAATTGAAGCTAAGTAAATCTTATAGGTGTAGAGAGACATAATGACCCTTTGTCATACAAAATGTTCTAAAAATTTATAGAAATAATTAACCCTAAAATACTAATGGCATTCTAATCCTATTTTTTTCTAAACTATTTATGCATCAAATTTCTTATGGACCCATGACTTTGTTAACTATAGGGTTCTTAAATAATGTACAAGTCAGCCACATAAAAATTAAACAAACACACCTTCAATATCACAATTAATTATATTATTTGCTGCTGGGATTTACTATATACTTCACACAGAAAGAAAATTAAAAGATATATCACCCAATTTCTTAGTCAGTTAAATATAGCAAGTGCTGTAACAGGTAAAACTGTAAAATTTCTCAACGTGATACAATATGCAGACCCCATTGGTGGTGATGCATAAAAACAAATCATTAATTTGATGATTAGTAACATTTTACAATTTTTGTTGTTTTCTTTTAAGCAAATGCCAAACGTTTCATGATATTCTTCATAGAAGTCTTAACAAGAACAGTAGAATAGATATTCTTATTCTGAGCTACTTAAAAGCACTACATAAAACAATAATGGCTTTCTTAAGACATTTTTATGAGATAAATTTAGGGTTACTTAGGGTGAAAATGTATGAACATTCAGAGATGTTTCCAAAAATATATTATAATAAATTTTCAATATTAAGACTATAAATCTTCCTTATCTGATATTAAAAACAAGATTACTTAGCATATGCCTGGAGATGTAGATGCTGATGTTTTAGCCCTACATCAGGTGGTTCTTCTGAAATGTTATTATAAAAGGAAATAGAAATCCTGCCTCAGTTCATGTACATGAACCAGGCCAAGGTCGGTGCTGTTATCAGCTAGACTTCCTGGGAAACAGAATACATTTTGTTACTTTAGGGCTTTTGTGAAATGTTATGGATTTTTAGGAGGACTTAAAAATTTTGGAATTTAGAGCTACTGGAAGTACTGTAATAGACATTGATCCAGGATGTAGCAAAAGAAACACAAATCTAACTTACACAGTTTTCCTAATTCTTCTGTAGGCACACCAAACAGCCTGAGAAACAAGAGCTGAGAAGTCTCCCAACACAAAACCCTGGGTGTAAGAGTAATGAGAAAGAAACTAGTTATAGTTCAATGTATTAATCTTTGTAAGATACTTCTACCACTAAACCTCACATTTACTTCTCTCAGATAAAATGTTATATATCACTTACATTCTATTTACAAGCAGTCTTTGAATAAGAAAAAAACTTGTTTCAATATAATGAATCAACTGCCTTGAGAACTAATGTCTTGGTTCAGTAGCTAAGGTATCAGTTAATTCAGGCACTGAAACCAGTTGAAGTAATAACTGAAATATCTGTAAATTATCAGCTTGACTCTAGCTCAAGCAGTAGCAAAGGTGAATATGAATTATTGGCTTGACTCTGGCTCAAGCAATAGTTGAGATATCCCTGAATTACTGATAGTTTGATTCTTAATAGTTAAAGCCAAAGCAAAAATATTGTAATTCTTTGAGTCAATATTAAGTAGTAGCTGAAATACTCATGAATTAATGACTAATAAATTAGCAGTTGAAATATTCATGAACTAATGATTTGATTCTATCTCAATGTAATTTAAATATAATGACTTGATAGTAGTGTAGTGGGATGTAATTGAGCATTAAATGTGAAACATAAAAACAAAAATATCATAATTAAACAATTACCTATCAAGTCAAATCTTATACTGTTTGTTGAAGAAGAATATTTTGGTGGTAATATTGTTCAGGTATGTTGTCACTGTAAATATTATTACTGTGTTGTAAGTGTTGGTCAAAAAAAAGCAGATTTAAAATCTAAATGAAAATGGGAGCAAAAATGAAAACAGTGTTCAGACCAAATAATATATTTTTGCTCAACAAGTAAAAACTATTCAGATTTCATACACATTGATTTCATTGTAATTTACTACCAAAGTAAAAAATATCATTTTCAAGTTTCTTAATAAATTAGTTAATAATGCCCAGAAAATTGAAAATAATTTTTAATTTACTTTACTATATTAACTTGTTTCACCCAGTGAACACTGTACTTTTTTCTAACTTGTTATTCTCTGAATGTTTCTTAAACTTGTTTATGATTTAAAGCCAGAAGTTAACTAAACGAGCAAACATTCAGTTGGTAAAATTTATTCCACCATAGTTGTACATCTGTCTGTTGTGAGGAACTGGTTAAAGCAATTTCAAAGGAAATTGGTAGAAGAGATCCTAAGGGTCTGAAAAAGTTCTAGTTTAAATGGATGACATCAGACAAATGGTTTGAGGAAGGCAACCATTTCAGTTTTACTACCTTAATGCCACAAATGTGGGCTCAATTGAGTGAGGTGGTTAGTTGTAAAAGCTGAATCTAAATGAAAGTGATGTTTAATATTGTTCATAGCACATGTAACTTTGCATCACATGAACAGTTCATGTGCTACAGCTCAAAATACATGGAGGCAGCTCGCACCCTCATTTACAGCATTATTATTTAAGTCTGGCATTACTGGGTGTATATTTATTGGTTTTTAATACATTAAGCTTTAAGCCAAAAAATATATATATTTTTTTTTTACAGTGAATAAAACATTAAAAATAAACTGACTGCTGTTCTCTGAGCCAGGTATGAGGCACTGACATCATTTCCTCTAGGACAAACTTCCAAGAATCCTTCTATCATTGCTTTTCTCTCTTTTTCATTTGGTGGCTGTTTAAAGAAAAAATTGTATTACGAGATAAAACTTTGTAGTCATAACAGCAAACTATAACTAATAAACAGCCATTATTCATACATGACAACAAAGTAACAGTTTAAATTACTGAACACTTGATCTTAGGGATAAAACCTATTAACTCTTTTGTTACACACAAAACTATCAAGATTTTTTTTTTGTTAGAAATGAAACTTTGTATTCTAAACCTTATTGAAAAGTAAATTCATTTCAATAGTAGCAACTAACATACATAATATTAATTTGGCCATTTTCTGATTAACGTGGTCTTCTATCTTAAACTTTGTTTATTTTAAAGTACTAAGCTACACAATAGGCTATCTGTGCTCTACCTACGGTGGGTATCAAACCGAGTTTTTTAAAAGTTATAATACAAATGCCTTATAGCTGAGTTCAAGTTATTTTTTAAACACACAAATTTATGATTCTATTTTAGGTACAACCTGAAAAGATGTTTTAAATACAAATAAAAGTTTTAATAATTAATATTTTTGTTGGTTAATACTTTTTTACAGTCACTTACCACAAATTAAGTTCATCAAAAATTGAGTTATTTCTTAACCAGTCATTCTACAAGTACAAGTACCACGTTATGAATTTCATCTCCTGAAAATTATTTATATTCTTCAACCGGCAGGATATCTATTTTTATTGATGATCTTATTAATAATCCTCAGCAGTTCCAACCATCATATGCCCAAACCATTATTTCATTTGCCAAACAGAATGTTTATTTACTAATATTCTAATGGCTGTACATTTTTCTTATGATATACATGTAATAAAATATAAAAATGCTTTGTTTGGTTTTTTATATTTGTGCAAAACTACTCAAGAGCTATCTGTCTCTAATTTTGAACCGATAAACTAGAGGTAAGGCAGCTAGCTAATCAGTAGCATTCACTAGTAACACTTGGTTTACCAAATAGCAAAATTTTAGCAATTCTTGTCATGCACTCATAGCTCAAAAGTGTGGAGCTCAAATTTATTTTTTTTCTTGAGAATGGGATGTAAACAATATACCTGCAGATTCATGGTTCGACACACTAACACTTGAAACGCTCTTGAGACCATAAAAGTGTTTTTTAAAAATATATTAAATGAGACTTAATTTTTTCACCTTGAGGTCAAAGTTAATTTGTTACTTTAAGTTTACTGAGCTTTGTTTCATTATTGTTTCTTAGTGGTTGTTCTCCACAAATTCATGCAATTAAATGCTGTGTATAAATATATGCCAGAGTACGAGATGACTTAAAAGTTTAATTATAAAATAATGATTTTTAAAAACAATCAATATTATCTTTATGCTAAATTTTCGAAAAAACAAAAAATCATCTCATTTAACAACTACAAGTTTAGTAAATCTCAATGAAAATAGAAAATAAGTTTTAATAAAAGAAAAATAGCCTTTATAACTGAAAAATTTAGAATTTTTTTCCTGATGATATTAATGTCTTTTTTTGTTAATAAAATAAACTAAACAAAAATTAATTACAACATTAAACTCACAACATCAAATAGTATAATTTCCAGGGTACATTTTAAGGCTTGTCTTTATCCTTCATTAATCAACAGTTAAGACAATTTATTATGTTTACAACTCTACATTTTCCTAAAAAAAAAGTATAAATGTGATTAACTTCTTTACTGTCAAGCTAGAACAAATTCATAAAATAAAAATAACACAGTAATGAAAGAAAAAAGTTTCTCTTCTTATTTCTGAATGAAATATTTAATGTTTATTTCATTAAAAAAAATATTAATTTTTATCTTGTAACAATAACATGAAACAAAAGTAGAATTAAAAAAAAAAATATATATATATATTGCCCTTTGATATTTTCTCTTGTATGATGTTAAACATTTTCATAGCTAGAAACCAAAATCCTTGCTTTGTCTAGATAATTTGATCAATTATGGTCTTAAGCCTTACCTTCACTTTAATAAGATGTAAAAAAGTACCAGAAAATTCTACACTCAACACCTTTGACTGGGATTCTGAAGTAGTAGCTATAATAATTACTGGCCACTGAGTGCTACTGACATTGAGAGACTTGATGGTGTTACAAAATGTGTTCAGTACACGAGGGTCTGAAAGAGTTAGTTTATTACAGACAAATTGTACAAGTTCTATACTAATTATCTAAACTATTAGATAATAAAAAAAAACTGTCAAAATGTTAACTCAAATTAATTGGCATAAAATCTCAAAGCCTCACTTAAAACAGATAATAGTATAATCTTGAAGTATAACTCAAAGCAAAGAGTTAACAGAGAAACATCAAAATATTATTGAGAACAGTAACAGTTCAAAATATCACTTGAAAAAGTTAACAGTGAAACCTCAAAGTGTTACTTGTAACAAACAATTAACATTAAAATCTCAAAGTATCACTTGAAACACAAAGTTGACAGTAAAATTTAAAATATGACTTGAAACAGTTAACAGTAAAGGCTCAGTGTCACTTGAAATAGGAAGTTAAAAATAAAACCTTAAAGTGTAACTTCAACCAAACAGTTGACACTATATATGATTAATTCATAACAAACATACTTTCGAAACACTGTTTATACAACTGATGTTAACTCCTAATAACTGAAAATTTTTGTTGACACATAAAAGACAACCTAGGAAAAGAAAAATTATATCACAGTATTAACATATAATAATTTCCAATATTCTTGTGAATTTTTTATCAAACTAGTTTGTAACCCTCACAAAAACTTATATAAAAATATACATCAAATTACCATCCAATAGTTTATTTTTTCTTTCAACAACTACCTAAATAACTGTTACATACATACATACATAAAATTATGCTCACCATCACCCAAAAGTTCTTTCTCCTTTCCAACAGCATCTACATCTTTCAGGGCCAAAATGCATGGAGCAAACATTGCCGCTGCAGTATTGATAATAAAGTCAGTGGAAATACAAGTCAATTAAAAAATATTATACAAAAAAAACAAGACTTTACTTTCAACTCACCACAGCCCAAAATATTTTAAGTAATTACATTAAATTCAACCACACCTGCACCTTTTATAGATAAACAGAACATCTTGATATTTATAAAATCCTTTACAAGGATTTTGATAAAAGTAAGCTTAACAAACTACTTTGATAAGTTAATATCCAAAAAAACCCACAGAAAATAAGCCTGAATTTCTTGGTATTGGTAACTTTGTCTCCTTTAATAGTAAATTGCTAAAAAAATGATGTAACACCAGATAATTTCTTACCTTTTCACTCAGTTTATAATATTTCTGCATGATTACTAATTCCATGTAACTTTATAAAACAAAATATTTTTTTGCAGAAAAATTCAGTGTTGAAATCTTACAGAATATTCTGTCTAATTAACCATTTTTACTTATTTTGTTTGTTTTTTGTCTGAATATGTCTATAACTAGATAAAATACATAAAATGCAAAAGATGGTTTAGAGTAAGATAAAACAAAACACCGTAGCCAAATATGTAAGTAAACTTGATATTTTCCCCCATAACATAAAATATATATTTTGCAAAATCAGTTTTGGGATAGAGACATTATATGGAATGGTCAAGACATCTGGTGAGGAAAGAGATAATGAATAAATTACATGCTACAACAGTATAAAAAAAAAACATCTATATAAACCATAAATATCAAACTTTGTACCTGCAAGATGAAAATAATTTAGCCATACTTAACAAAAAAATCAGGACATGAAGACCATTTTTGAAATTACTTGTCATTAACATCTCTGAGAATTTAATGCTGGAAAATAATCAGTTACTACAAAAATAAACTTCTTATAACATAGGTTATCAAAAATGTCTGAAATCTCTACAGTTAGTCAGCATTTGTAAGTTACCATAAATTCAGCTTGACTGATAGGTATTATATTACTTTCTAACAAGTTTTAACTGTGTAACAAACACTTCTCCTTTCAACAAATCAATAATAGTTAAAACTTCCAAATATAATCTTTATTAGTTTTGACTTTTCATTACTTTCATTTTTACATTTACATCTACCCCCACCTCTCCTCCAGTTAATGGTATCTTATCAAATGAATTAGTGATGTAAAAATATTTATTTAACTTCCCTTCAGAGCTTGAGAACTCTTTAATAATTACCAATACTCTTCACCTTAGTGCTGGAGAATCCTAGGAACTAACAATCTGGCATCTTATTGTTACAGAACTCTAATAATTAAAAATCTGACATTGTGTTAATGCTTAAGAACACTAATCATAAGCAATTTGGCATCTTAGTGTTAGAGAACTCTAATATCTACCAATCTAGCATCTTAATGTTAGAGAACCCTAATAATTATTAATCTGGCATCTTAGTGTTAGAGAACCCTAATAATTATTAATCTGGCATTTTATTGTTAGAGAACCCTAATAATTATTAATCTAGCATCTTAGTGTTAGAGAACTTTAATAACTACCAATCTAGCATCTTATTGTAAGAGAACTCTAATAATTACTAATCTGGTACTTTAGTGTTATAGAGCCCTAATAACTACCAATCTGGCATTTTCTTAGCACTTGAGAACCCTAATAACTATCAACTCAGTGTTGTTTCCCCTTCCCAGTAACGATCACTCAAACACCATCTCACTGCTAGAGAAACTTACTACTAACTATCATTCCAACCTCATCTTAGCACTAGAGATCTCTAGTGACTATCACTGTGACATTATTTTCATTCAGAAGGTTTTTTACAACCATCAATATGGTATCACTTCTGTACTTTATAACCCTAACAAGTATCACTCTCACATCACCTTCCTCCTTTTTTTATTGTATACTTCTCAATATTAAGTTTTTATTCTTTTTGTTATACAAGTGATGGTCAGATTTTCTTAGCTAAAAATTTCAAGAAAAACAGTCCAATGAATTTTATGATGTAGACTAATTCATAATTCATATTTAGTATTTAAATGCACAGTCACTGCAAGCTATAGCATAGATCTGCTGACAGATTTTTCTTTCTTTTTAAAAATAAAGTTTTTCTGATTGATTCACATGACTCTTGGTCTTTGATTGCTAAATATGAAGTTAACTTGGCAAAAGTATGTGTAATGTTTTAGATAACTGCTGTTAAACATACTCTTTTGTAGCATAGCTTTTAGACGATTTTCAGTGGAACCAGGGGAATCTCCTGTGACTTCATAGCAATTGATCTAAAAAAATACATGTAACAAAACAAAAATCAGCATCCGTGTAATCTATAATATAAAAAAAAAACAATTATCTTGATTTAAAGAAAACATGTAAAAGTCTAGCTTTGGGCACAATAAAATATATCAAAAGGCAAAATTTGTAGCACTAATGTTACCACACTGAATTAACACTAATATAAACACAAGAATAAAATGTATGAAAGTGAATAAAAAATTAAAATTCGGCATTTAATAAAGTACAGAACTGGAAAAGTATTCAGAGAATGCAACACCCCACCCTTCAGAATTTTTACTTTTAGCATATAATCAGTAAAATATGCACTAAACAATTCCTTACATTTACAAATGTAACTATAGGTGTGAAGATACTCTATCCCAATTTATTCTTGAGTATTAATTGATAATCTCAATCTGCTATCATTATAAAAAAGTGATTGATCTTAAGTGGGAATTTGACCTTTGAGGTACATTAATACTGATTACTAAACAGGTGTACACCACAGTTAATTTAAAATCACCACAAGAGGACTCAACATATAAGAAATCTTCTAATTTATAAAGCTAAGTCCACTCAGTGTAGTGAGTTCAGCATACAACTTCTTTGTTTATTTGAAGTTAAGCACAAAGCTACACAATGGGCTATCTGTGCTTGGCTATCGAAACCCGGATTCTAGCATTGTAAGTCTGCAGACATACCGTTGTGCTACTGGGGGGGGGGGGGGGCTTATACAACTTTTACTGACTCTTTGAAATAGAATATCTGATTAAGTTAAAGTCCAATAAAAAAGTGTGATAGTGTAGATTATGTAAAGAAAGTGCTTGTCATGAAATATATTCTTTGAAATTTCTGTTATTTAGTAAGGATTAAAGAAATATTTGTGAAAGATTAATTGATAGGGACAAGCCAAATTAGGTAACAATATTTTTCTTAATATTTTTGGTTCAAGTCAATTTATATATGACAAATATAATTGCTTTTCAATAAATTATAAGTTATTTTACTTATGTGCATTTTTTCAATATGACAAACTTAACAATAACGTATAATACATTTAAGTCACTTGAATATTTTGCCATCGCCTACTGTACTTTAAGCCTTATAAAGCTTACCTGATGTCTTGTCATAAGAGAAAATGCAGCTTTCAAACAAATAATTTAACACAACACCATTTTCAGAAATGAAAGGAACATCTAAAGAAACTATGAACAATACTTCCAGATATGTGGTTTGTTCCAAAATCTTCTAAACTTTCTAATAAAGTCTTTTATTCTTCTCTGCACGAGCTAGGTTTTGTCATCACCTTCTCATGAAACCATAAATTACTTTTCACACCACATTATTCACTATACACTGACATAATTAGTTTACAACATTTATTTCAATGTACAGTGTTATTTTAAACTTTGCCTGTAGCTAGTTTGAAAACCGAATTTTGTTAGTAGTTGTTCAATCACCTGCTGTGAGCTCATAAAAAAGTGGGAACCAAGATGTGGCACTAATAAAACTCAGTGAGAAACATAGCTTTGAAAATTATATTCTCAGGGAATAATTATATCTAAGCAAATATGAACCTTTGTTTGGGGATGGGCAGAAAAAACTGATAACTTCACTGTTTACATGCAAGACTTCTCAGAACTATGCAGAAATGTAAAAACATAAACGTCAAATATTATTTAGTAAAAAATTGTTGAAATACATTTAGAATTATTTCTTTACTTAAATTTTGAAAATTGATGAATTTGACACCTGAAATGTGGTCACTGTCCCAAAAATTGTCAAGGTAAATAAGCTAGATAAAACATTAGTAGACTTTATAAATTTAAATTAGTACCTATTTCTAATAATATACATGCACAGACTTCAGTATATAACATTTATTGTTCAGAACTTACTCTTTTTATTTTCTTTTATAACAGTAATGTCAGGAGACAATTATAGACATATCTTGAAAGATAGAGAGAGACAGTAAGACACGTCATGTGGGTGTAGAAAATTTTGTAATATCTCAGTAAAGCAAGAAGATTGGATGCTCAAATTTTATATTCTGGCTTGTCAATATATAACGTACAAGCCTGTAAATAGTTAGAGGCTGCAATCCATAAGAAGGCAGAAAGAAAAATTAAAATGGGGAATTCAAAGCACAGACGAGTGTCACGTGACACAGGGAAGGGAAGAATAAGAATTTATTTCAATATTTTCTTTTGAAATTCAAAAAAATGTTTTAATGCCACACTTATTGACATACATTAATAATAAAATTGTTTAACTAAATTTTGAATGTAACTCTGTGAAAAAATCTATTATTTCTTTGTCTTACTTTAAGTTATTTTAACTTTCAGGGATTGTTTTTACTTTAATATTCTTAACTTTTTTTAGCTTACAGGGTGAACTTCACATTTCTCTTATCAGTTCAATACACTAATATTTAAAAAATGAATAAGCTGAATGGTGCAGTTCATCTGTTTTAAACAAAAATTAAGTTTCTGTAACTACATTTTAGAAGCACCTTTGAAGTACAACCAACACTTTAATATTAATGTTGACTATAATTATTTGTATTATTTTTTGCTTTACACGAATACATAAAATAATGGAACCAAAATGAAAATGTAACAGTGTAATTAGAAAATATTCTAATAATTAAAGTTTATTGCTTTCTGATGTTTGCATCTGTACCTGGTAAAAATGCATGTTAAGACGCCGAGAAAGAGCTTTGACAACAGTTAACTTTCCACAGCCTGAGGGACCACTCAGCAGTATGCAGGGGCTAATTTTTGTTCTTGATTTTCTAAAAAAAATATATCTTTGTTAATAATGTACAACAATAAAAACTAACAGATGACAAATAAAGACCAATATCCTCAATAAGAAAAACAAAGTGATTATTTTTAAAATTTCAAACATACAGACTTCAGATTAAATGTCGGTTAAATTAGACCAGCCTGGAATATATCCCACAATAATCTCACAAGAGTTTCAACAGACCTGGAAGTGCTTAGATTAAGATGAGCTGAATTTGTAAATCATATAGCACAAATAATACCAGGAAGAATACTTCATTTAATTTGATGTTATGTTTGTCACACAACCAGTTCATCTATGATTAAATTATTTCTTAACCAATCATTCTATAACTAACAAATGCAAAATCATTAATTTTAAGAAACTGAGGGGGCCTTACAGACATTATTTTATAACAGTGACTTACCATGTCACAGCTATATTATTACAAATTTTAACTTATTTCACAAAGTGTTACTAATTCAAGAATAACTATAGTAAAACCTCATTCCACAAGCTTTAAAGGTGGCTGGCTAAGTGCAATGTTACTATGTGATTTCACTTTTTTTTCCAAAGGAAAAGAAAACTAAAACAAAATATTCTAAAAACAAAAATCAAAGCTTTATCAACACTGGCACACAAACTTGAAGTAAGATTTCTACTTGTTTTAATGGACTTGCTTTTGTGTGGCACACTCTAGATTTTTTCTGCACCCTAAATAAACTTTTACTATACAGTAAGGGTTCAGTGCATACATGAATTCTAGTTTTTTAAGTTACACTACGAAAAAGCTTTAGACTGTGTAAGCCAGACTTACTAGTAAAACTTGCTTTGAAAGCTCTGCAAAAACAAAATTGAAAATAAGACAAGTTCTATATCATTGAAATACTGCTAAAAGAGAAAAAACAAAGAAGCTTAAAAATATAGGCATTATAAGTTATACGTTATCAAAGAAAACTCACTCAGAATTCAAAAATGGAGTTACAAGGAGCTCAAGATGTTCCACATACTCTAAAATACCTGGTGGTTCTGCAGAATACCATATTGGATGATATGGTACAGAAGAAAAGAAGGAGTCCACTGTCCTGGGTATATAAGACTGAGACGTTCCTACCTACACAAACAAAAACAGTCAGATGATTCTTACTGAAGTGCTAATTTGCTTAGTAACTTATAATCTTGAGTGGGTTATTAACAAAGGAAAAGTAAACAATCAAGAAAAGGAAAAAGCAGTCAGATAACTTACAGAATTCCCAGTTTGCTTAGTAATTTAAAATCTTGAGTGAGTTATTAACAAAGGAAAAGTAAACAACAAGAAAGGAAAAAGCAGTCAGATAACTTACAGAATTCCCAGTTTGCTTAGTAATTTAAAATCTTGAGTGAGTTATTAACAAAGGAAAAGTAAACAAACAAGAAAAGGAAAAAGCAGTCAAATAACTTACAGAATTCCCAGTTTGCTTAGTAATTTAAAATCTTGAGTGTGTTATTATAAAAAGAAAACTACTTTTTGAATTTTGAAGCTAAAGGCTTTATACCACTGAAAATAATAATGTCTTGTTGCTAAAAGTTCTGAAATTCAACACTATGAAATGTTACAATATATTTCAGTTATCTATTTGTGCCATGAGACAAATAAAAAACTGCAATAATACAGTTAAAACTGTTAAGATAAATATATAAATATTTATCCATAGCAAAAAAAAAAAGAAACATGTACATATATTTTTTTTTCATTAATAATCCACATTTTTATATCACACATTTTTTTTTGCATTTACACACACACACACATACATACATATATATATATATTATTTTTTTTTGATTTTATAAAAGTTGGACCTTAAATTTATTGGTAGTCACTATCTTATAAAAAAAAATGTTCCAAACAAAAGTGAATATCCTACAGTATATAAATAGGTGTGGCCCTTCTTAGCACGATATCCCAAAGACGATGGGGGACCCTCTACTAGAACAACTCTATAGTAGACAACTGGACACCTGGAAGAAAAAAGCATTGAATGTGAAATCTCAGTACACAAACAGAGACTTGACAAAAGTAAACAGACATCCAGTTTTAAAAAACAAAAGCTTATTCTGAAACCATAGACAGCAATAGTTGGTAAAATTTCAGTAAGGTTAATGCTTTGTGGTGCAGCCTTTTTCTTTATGCAGAGCAGTAATGATCTTACACACAGTGTGGACAAGATCAGCATTACTTGTCTGAAAGATTTCAGCCCATTCTTAGCACAGAATCTATATTAAAGAGTCTTGTGAAGTGAAATTACTGGAATGCTTTCACATGAATTGGTCAAGGATAGCCCATACATGCTCAAGGGGGATCATGTCTGATGATTAGTCAGGTTATAGCAGGGTTGTGATGCTTTGACTCTCTTTCCATCTCAGGGGTGTCTAATTACTTATGTCACATTTTTGCATAATTTGGCTAACAAAAGATATTCTTAACTTTCATGCATCTAGTGGAAAAAGAATTAATAAATATTATGACCATTGCTAATTAGGTCTATACAGTCACACTTTTATATCAGAAAATCTATAGCAATATATTATCACAGAACTTAACATGATTGATGTTAAAATCTTCGTTAGCTGAAAATGTATTTCTAATACATACCACTGCGCACAGAACAACTTGATACCTTTGTGCATCTACCAACGAGATATGCATGCCACTAGCTACTTCCCACCTAAAAACATGTGTTTAACATGAACTGTACTAGAGCATGATGTTACCATTATGTGACAATAGCTCTCCACCAATAGGAGGGTGACACAACCTCCTTGCATAGTAGCTTCCCCTAAGAACTTGCACTAAAATTAACTTTATTATTAGATAAGCAAAAAAAAGTGCATCATAAGTGGAGAGGACAGGTGGGAAGAGGTGAGTATTTATAGAATTAGATTTTCAGGTAAAGAAAATGTTAACTTCCAAAGCAATGCTTCACCTTCATACACAAAACAACTAGAATCTCACAAAACAATGGTGGAGGGGCTTGGGCAAACATTAAATGTGAAAAAGGCTGTGAGCATCAATATCCAGGGAAGAATACACAAACTGAAGGAGCTGGGGACCCATTTAGTAAGGGTAGAAGGCAAGAGGCTCCTGGACAAAGAGGGGTCAGAAAGGGAGACAGACATTCTTGCTAAGTAACAATGAACAGCCTGAACTGGACATAATGAAGGAATCTAGATCCAAAAAAGCATAGAGGTGAGAAATCAAAGGGAGAGAAATAATAATTACCTTCCCAAGTAGTTGAAGTCTTAGGAAGAAAGGCCCAGTAGGGTAAAGAAGTAAGTATGGTGGAACAAAGTACAGGAAGCATTAATGGCACAAATAACCAAATAATGATGAATACAGGTGATAAGGAGAAGGAAATATGTCTTCAGAAAAAGATGGTGTAAGGGACATGAAGCCAACTACTCCAATAGTGCATGTGTAAAACCACATTAAAGTCCTAGTGAGGCATAGGAGTAGGATGAGGAAGTCAGTGAAAAAAAAAAGGATGTGAACAAAGTGGAGAGGATAGAGGAAAAAATAAACCTGGTATTAACAGGAAAAGCAAAATGTAGTTGACAAAGACACCTGATAATCAGTAAAGGCAGAAACTGAAAATCCATGTGTGAACAACCATGTGAAAAAAGGCTGAAAAGTGAGCCACTGTAACATTGCACTGAGGAAGGGAGTGGTGGATGGACCAATGATAAAAAACTCACCACTTTTGATGATAAACAGACAGAGTTGAAGGACACCAGGAATGGAATAAGAAAAAGGTTAAACAGAGAAGCCATACCTGTGGGCAATGGACTGGACAAATCCTACACATGAGGATGAAGAAACAACACTCCTTGGTGAATAAGGGGCATGTGTGGTTGAAGCGAGAGAGAGTAAAAATGGACTAGAGGTATAGGGGGTCTGGACACCTACTGATGAAGTACAAGAAACCAGGGTTGTGCTAGCCAAAGAGGCACCACCAACAGAGCTTGACAAAGTGTGTCATGTATCAAAGTGAGGACATGGGGGAGAAGACAAAGAGGAGGGTATTCATACAGAAAAAGATGAGACCAGTCCTGGCTGAGAGCATCGACTGCCAGATCTGAAGGATGAAGACCTGGGGAAAAGAAAATGGAAAGTTTGGTGCTGAGAAGAGTGACAAAGGCATCAATGAGAGGCATGACCAAATGAAAGCAAACCCAATGAAAAACCTGAGTATGGAGAGACTACTACACAGGTAGGAGGTGCACATATGCATAGCCTAAAAGAATGAGAGGTTTGAGGAAAGAACCCTTGTGCAAAGGGTGTAAATGAGAAGCATGAATCTTGATGACAAGACATTTTATTGCTTGTAGGAGAAGAGGTGAAGGTTGAGCTAGACTGAGGTGGGAGTTGAAGAACACACCCAGATGTATCAAACATTGGGTAGGCATTAGAAAATACTTAAGCTTGACAAGCCAGCCCAGCTGAGCAGCCTCCTGCAAAATAATGTATGTATGTATGTATGTATGTATGAGAGGAGGAGTCCTCCTCTCAAGAAGGGGCAAAGAGAAGCCAATTATTCATGTAATAAAAGAACCTCAGCCCCAACTGAAGAAAACAGCAGGTGAATACCTTCATGACATAGTTGAAAACATGAGGAGTAGATGCAATGCCAAAAGGAAGAGCATGGAACTGAAAGACAATCTTGATAGATGAAATGAAGAAAATGTCTGGAAGACAGTTAGATCAGAATGGGTAAAAAAAGTGTCTGAAACATCAACTTTATTCATCAATAGTCCAGGTGAAAAGAACCACCACAGAGTAAAGAAATCCTCCATACGGAATCGAGAAATGACAAGAAATCAGTTAAGAGACAATATGTCACAAATGGATGTCAATCCCCAATCTTCTTGATGACCACAAAGAGATGAGATTCATAAACCAGAGCAGGGATAAGTACTCTCTCAATTGTATTCTTGGCCAAGATATCTAAGACTGCTTCCTCGAGACTCTGAAGATAAATGGAATCGGAGGAAGAAGGAAAAGAAAAGGGGAAAGGGGGAGGAGGAAAAGGAAGTGGAGAGATTTGTTGTTAGTGAGAACCTGAAGAACTCATTGATTGTTCAAAAATGAAGACCAAAGTCTATCAAAAAGAGACAGATGAGCTTCCACAAAACTAGACCTGACAGGGTAGTCACCAAAAAGGTGAGTAATAATCTGGATGTCAGGAAGTAGGTAAACAGGAAGAAGAAGGAACAGAAGTGCAAGGTTGTGAAAGAATAAACCAAAGTAGACAATGTGGACTGATGCTGTGCCAGTTTGGCCCAGATCTCCAGGGTGTCAGGAACACCCATGAAAACCTCTTGGTGAAGAAATGGAAACCAACAAAGATCATGGAGATGAGCATAAGGGAGGCATGCATTAGTTAGGAGAGCATTCAGTCTTAATAAGTTCCAACAACAGAGGAACCAAGTAAGGAAGGATAGAGCCGAAGAAAAGTATGATCCAATGTGGTAAAAGGAGAACAAACCTCTCCACAAAACCCCTCTTATGCACAATGAAGTGCCTCTGAAATAAGATGAAGTGATGAGAGGTAACACAGAAGTGTTGTAAGAAAAAGATAAAGATGTGAAAATTGGGAACTAGAAAGAGAAATGAAGGTTAATGGGTCTGTCCCCAAGCAGTTAAAAGAGATTCCAAAGACTGGGAATGAAAAAAAAATGACTGTAAACCAGAACAAAAGAGTCAAGTAGATGAAGGGAAAAATAAATGTTAGTACTGGTGCATAGTTGTTTGAGGAACAAGTCTGCATGGATCCTAATACCAGGCAAAGAAGGGATGAGAATGTAATCTTGAGTATGGGTTTCATACAGCAAAGCATAGGAGAAACTGAAAGACACAGGGGAAAGAAAAAGAAAGAAACATACCTGTGAAATCATGTCAAGGAAGAGATTAGAAGGGTGAAGATTTTCCTTCACAAATAAAGCTGTACCCATAGCAAAACCTGGTGAGGTGTAAAAAGTCAGTCAGAATCATCATTATCCTAGTCATGTGCAAAGTGGGGAAACACTGCTCAAATGGAAGGGAAGAGGAGGACTAATATGCATAAAAGAACACAGCATATTGAACAATGGCTGTTATTCCTCCAAAGACAGAGTCCCCAGTAGCAACAGGTCTCATGTTAGTAACATCATCGCTATCACAGAACAAAGTGGAAGTTACTGTAACTTGAGAATTCATAATAGCAGGAAATTACCAAAGGATTTTTTTTTTCCAAAATGAAGTTAAAGAAACTACAATGGTTATGCAAAAAACAAACATTAAACCAGGTAAATTTGAACAAAAGTAAACTCAGTCATAAATTATCATAAATCTCAAATAATTGTTTAATAATTTTGGAACATGCCCATTCTAGATGATGCTGAGCAAAATAATGAAGTTAATTCAAGCAAAAGTACTTAGGGGGAGCTACTGCACACGTATATTGTGTCACCCTCCTATTGTTGCATGATGATATCATGTACTAGTGCAGTCCACATTAAATGTTTTTTAGGAGGTAGCTCAAGACTAGTGGTATGCAAATCTCATAGGCTGATGCACAAATGAATCAAACTGTTGTGTGTGTAGAGCTGAAGTATCGTCTTAGAATTAAATTTCTCCATGAATAGTTCCTTTTCCAAATAAGTGCAATTTGTTAATTCTTTTTAACCACATATAAACAGTCCAAAAACTTATGAGATATTACTGTAGTCAATTTTTTTTCTTACAACACTGAATTTAACTTTGTTATCAAAAATAATAGCTATAGTTATATTATATAGCTATAATAGTTTTGTAGGTATCCCCCCCTGTTAATAACAACAGTCAATTTTTATTCTACTTTAATTCCCTGCCAATTAAATGCTTACTAGGAAAAATACAGTAGCATTCTTCCTAAGTTTTCAGTTTAGGGAAAACAGTAAAGTACAGAGACTATATTAGATATAAAATGTTGTAACATGAGGAATAAATAAATAATTTCACCCATCAACTTATAACTTAATTTCATTTTCTAAACATAAATAGTAGGCTTGGTTCACATTAGCAACAGCAATTATTTACGTAAAACCTCTTTTTCTGCTTTTGTAAGTTTCAAATATGACATACCCATCATAAATTAATGACAAATAAATAATAATAAAGAGAATGACACAATTTCTTAAATATACATTCTTAAATGATTTATTTAAAAAAAAGTTCCTTTCAAAAAATAGCTCTGTATAAAATCAAACAGCAAAGTGAGAGTTAAAGGCCTGTTTACATGAACATCAAAATTATAATTTTCCAAAATAATTAACAGTTTGGGTTGCAACCATTTATTTCCTTTAATGTTAATGAAATAGATGTCATCAAACAATGTAACAATGTCATTAAAAGTAAAAATTAAAAGATGTCTTGTATAAAGGTGAAACAAAGATACGATACGAGTATCATATCATGAAGCTGTGATACAATTGCACTGATACATCATCTGATATGATTTATGTACCTTCACAAAATTTGGCAAGCTTTCAGTAAATGTATTTTATACAGTTAAAATCAGAATTTCTAATAAAGTATTTTTACTAAAAA